GGTTATTAGGTCTGAAATAGGATACAACTCAGGGACTTGAGGGAAGTCAATATTGGATCCAGAGATTAAATCTATGATTGTTTAGATTAGATTAATTTTTTTTTTATGCACATTGTTAAAATGTTCTTGTCAGCATTTTTGAGCACTTTTGCTATGCTGGACAATGTTTCTGTTTCAAAGATGGATATCAGATGATCTCTGCCTTTTAGGTTCTACAGCAGCCAGGAGGAGACAGATTTTAATCTTTTGGTAACAGTGAAGCTAGGAGATAAATGGAATATGAAGAGCACAGAGGAAGGTTTTTAGCCTAGCTTGGGAGTTTCAGAAAGGCTTCTGGAGGACGTCTGATAACCTGAACTGAGTCTTGAAGTAAGAGTTACCTGGGTATAGTAAATAGCTAAGGAAACAACAGATGAGAGAAGATATGGATAGATGAAATGGTCTACAAGTTGTAGGGTATTCTTAGAACATAAAAGTTGGAACTGAGGAATGATTTATGATGAGGCTTGGGAGATACGCAAGAACCAGGCCATGAAGGGCCTGCATTGCCATGCTAAAGATCTTGTATTTTATAGGTTAAGGGGAGTCATTTTGATCAGTTGCAGGGTCAGATTTGCATGTTAGAGATTACTGCTTGAAGAAAGATTTAGGGGGCAATACTGAAGGCAAGGAGACATATTGGGAAACAGTTCCCTTAAGCCAGTGAGAGGATTAAAGCCTTAGCTCAAGGCAGTAGCTTTTTGGAGAAATGATGGTTATTTCCCTTAGTTTATGTAAGTAAATATTTGACCCTCTGTTGTTCAGAATCCAACTGAGATTACAATTCATGGAACTGTGTATAATTTTATAGAGATGATACATATTTATCTGCTAGTTGTTTATCATTCCTTTATGTCTATAGGAAATTTATACTTTTATAAATATCTACTAACTAGTATGGTGCTTTGTGGAGATGGTTAGTGGTTTTGATTATAAAAAGCAGGATGTGTTGACCCTTTTGCTGTGTTTAGTGATTTAATGTTTAGTGGAGCATTTTGTGTTTGTGTAAAAGCAATGGCTTGTTAATTAAATTTGGGCTATATAATTTCTTCTATGAATTTATAATTTCCATATGCTAATTTATTTATTTCTTTTTCCTTAGGCTATTAGCAAAAGATGGTGGATCGCTTGGCAAACAGTGAAGCAAATACTAGACGCATAAGTATAGTGGAAAACTGTTTTGGAGCTGCTGGTCAACCCTTAACTATACCTGGACGGGTTCTTATTGGAGAAGGAGTGTTGACAAAGTTGTGCAGAAAAAAGCCCAAAGCAAGGCAGTTTTTCTTATTCAATGATATTCTTGTATATGGCAATATTGTCATCCAGAAGAAAAAATATAACAAACAACATATTATTCCCCTGGAAAATGTCACTATTGATTCCATCAAAGACGAGGGAGACTTAAGGAATGGATGGCTTATCAAGACACCAACTAAATCATTTGCAGTTTATGCTGCCACTGCCACTGAGAAATCAGAATGGATGAATCATATAAATAAATGTGTTACTGATTTACTTTCGAAAAGTGGGAAGACACCCAGTAACGAACATGCTGCTGTCTGGGTTCCTGACTCTGAGGCAACTGTGTGTATGCGTTGTCAGAAAGCAAAATTCACACCGGTTAATCGTCGTCACCATTGCCGCAAATGTGGTTTTGTTGTTTGTGGGCCCTGCTCTGAAAAGAGATTTCTTCTTCCCAGCCAGTCCTCCAAGCCTGTGCGGATCTGTGACTTCTGCTATGACCTGCTTTCTACCGGGGACATGGCTAGGTGCCAGCCAACCAGATCGGACTCTTACGGTCAATCATTGAAGTCTCCTTTAAATGATGTATCTGATGATGATGACGATGATGATAGCAGTGACTAAGGACACATTTTGAAATATTTAATTTGGTGTGACTGTGTGAGAAATCAGCTTTGGAGGAAATGTAAAATTCTGAGTGCTTTCTCAATTTTGCTGTAGCCGTGAATATGCCTGAGAAACTTTTGACCTAGGTGCCTCAATATGTTCTTTAGAAAGTAGGGCCCCCCACTCCCCACTCTTCTACAGGGATAGACTATTGCCAATACATCAGATGAGTTTTTGGCTTCTTGTTTATTTCTAGATTACTTTCTTGGAAGGTTGGGATATGATTGTTATTTAACAGATCATGTACTACATTATTATTTTTATTTCAGTCATGTAGAAAAACTAAAAGCAAAGAGTAATGAAGAAAGGAGTATAATGTGGTTAATTAACAATAATATTAGCTTTTTTCTAACCATCCTAATGGTTAAGACGCCAGTAACAAAAATACATGATTTGGTAATACTTTTTCTTATACTGAATGGTGCCTTATAATAGTAGCACTGTTACATGAATTAATCCTCTATCTTCTGACTTTTTAGTTTGTTTAAAAATATACTGGTGCTCTTTGAGATAATTAAAATGAGTGCTTGTGAACAGGTGTAATTAGGAAACACTTCTCATCTGGACAGCTACAAATAACTAAATGTACAGGTTATCTTCATTCTATATAAATAAATATTTTTTTCATAGAATAATTATGATTATATTTTTACATTTTATAGGTACCAAATTATAATTGTCAAATATATGTTTTAAATTAATGATAGGTTGTAATTTTTAGGAATTTGATTTGAAATCATCAAATAATACTGAATTGTCATATTGCTTTAGTTTCCACTTTTAGTAAGACATTTTTAGATACAAATTCATCCACTTTAACATTATTTCTAGAACGAAAAGTCTTTGTGTAAAACCGTTGAAAATAAACAATCTCTTTAAAAAAACAATCTCACAATAGAGCACAAGATAGGTTTAAAGATTTGGAGGAAATAATGTGTAAGAATGCTCAAAGTAGAAAATGTCTTTAGAAACTTAATTTTGACTAGACTTCATATCTGTGGAAGTATTGTCTATTTCAGTGTGAAACTATCTTGAATTTACAAATATAGTGTTATATTTTATAAAGTTTTGTAAGGTCCCAAACAATATTTCTATTTTTGTAAAACAATTTAATCTGTTTCTGAAATCTTTTTGCAATCTATGGAAATAGAATAGCAGTTTCTAAATTGTGAACTTTGTTGAGTCAGTCTAGATTGCTTTTGAGAAGTGGTCATTTTTCACTCTTTGCTTTTGAGGCATCCATTAGGTTGAAAGTATATTTATCGTATAAAACTTGATGAATTTTGCACTACTTTCCATGTGTATGCTGCAAATAACTATAGTCTTTCAAATACAAAAAATTCTAAACTCTTTTTTTAGTCTTCAAATCTGGATATATTGCAAATGTCATGAGAGGTTTGATTCAATAACTTGTGATCGAGGATTCTTTGGTATCTTACTGTTTGGTTAAGGCACTAATTTTACTTTACTGTTAAATTTTGAAAGTATCTGAGATATACAGATCTCCCTGTAGGAAATGTGAAAGAAAAGCACAACAGGGCTAGTTTTTGTTTTTAAGCAATGTATACGTATAATCAGTCAGGATATCTGGAAAGGATCTTGAAACCTGAGAAGTGCTAATGGAGGCTTGTTGGAACATAGGAACTTAGCAAATTCAGGAACCAAGGGGAAATGGTCCGAGATAACATTTGCTTTGTCAACCTTTCTTGGCTGTTTTTACAATAAAAAGCGTTTACAATTTATGTTTTGTTCTCTGCATATTGTGACTTGAAGATTTTTTTCCCCCTGGTTAAATAATAAAGATATGCATCTTTGCTTCTTTATTCAACTACTGTTAGCGCTTGCTATGTGCCAGGCATTGTTCTGGGCACTAGAGGTAGAGTAACAACACAAATTCCCTCCTTTTCATGGAGTTTATATGCCAATAGATTCCACGATGTGTTTTCTTCCAGAAATTTTCTGTAGTTTTTGAAGTGTTTGTGAGTCTTTATATACAAACCTGAAATGGTTTTGATGCTGATTTCTCATGGTGTTATTCTTGAATGAAATTTGCTTGGACTGCACAGGACCCCTGGTTCATTAACCAAATTGGTAACTGTTGGTATAAGGGAAACAAGATTTTGTAGATGTAAAGGAAAAATTTTAAAGTGAATATACCTTAATACAGGAGTTTGTATCTTTAAGTCAAGTGCATAAAATAGCCATAGTTTATATACCCTTATTACTTTTATGCCCAAATTCTTATGAATGGGTAGTATTAAATTGTGTACCTTAAGATTCTTTAAAGGTCCCAGTACTTTCTCTCAGATATGCTAATTTTGTTGTCAAATACATGTTGCAGCTTTAAACAGTGTAGTAGTAGTTATTCATACAGTTGGTCCTCCGTATATGTGGGTTCCATGTTAACAGATTCAACCAACTGCAGATTGAAAATATTTGGGGGGTGGGGGAGTTCCAAAGAAGCAAAACTTGAATTTGCCATTCGCGGAACACTACACTGAATCCACACAAATGAAATGATGTGTAGGCATACCTTGCTGTAGCCTCCCACCATTTCACAGATCCTCAGTCTCTATCCAGCGCTTGTTGTTTGAGCATTGTTCACCTTGCCTCATTTGGCTTGTGTTGTGTGCACCCTTTGTGAAAAAAATGGCTCCTAAAAAGCAATGAAGTGGTCAAAGCAGTCCCTCAAAGGCTAAGTGTTAGGGGGTTGAGGAGAGCGAGAGGAAGGAGTTTAAGGCTAGTAAGGGATGGCTGGCTAGCTGTGTAAAGCGCTACAGCCTGCAGAACTTCATCACGGGCAAATTGACATCAGCTGATGCCCAGAAAGCATGAGCCTTCCCAGAAGAGCTCAAGAAACTCATAGAAGAGAAAGAGCAAGTCTACAATGTGATGAAACAACTATTTACATATCATTTACATTGTATTAGGTATTATAAGTAATCTAGAGATGACTTAAAGCATACCCAGGATGTGCATAGGTTATATGCAAATACGACACCATTTTATGTCAGGGACTTGAGCATCCTTGGATTTTGGTATCCGTGGGGTTCCTGGAACCAATACCCCTTGGATACTGTCATGGATTGAATTGTGTCCCCCAGAAAGTGTGCGTAGTGGCTTGGCTGGGTCATGATTCCCAGTATTGTGTGATTGTGTTATCTGATGTGATTTCCTTATGTGTTGTGAACTCTGCCACTATGATGAGATTGTATGTGATCTCCTCATGTGTTGTAAATTCTATCACTGTGATGAGTTTATACTGATGAGGTTGACAAGATTAGTGTCTTGGTGCAATCTCTTTTGAGATGTGGAGGAGAGAGGCGGGCGGGGATACATGGGAATCTCATACCACCAAGAAAGCAGTGCTGGGAGCAGAGCGCGTCCTTTGGACCTGAGGTTCCTGCGCAGAGAAGCTCCCAGACCAAAGGAAGACTGATGACATGG